AAAAAAAAAAAAAAAAAAAAATAAGTTCAGCTGCCGATAAAGTTTCGAGGTTTAAGTCACCCAGAGGTATCCAGGCAATTAGATATAGAAAACCCTATGCACCTTGAAAACCTAGAGTTCTACTCTGACGTAATTGGAGTCACCATGTGTTAGAGTTGACTGGACAGCAACTTGTTTTTATTACTCCTTTTATGCACAGGAACATGAAGTCTTTCCAGTCTGACTTCTCCCAGACTATTTACACATCCACACCTCTATTCTTAGATCTCTATTCACTTCTTTATCTTGAGCACAATGTCTTGTCATCTTCCTTTAAAAGGACTCAACTATTTGTCCCTCAACTCTCAACATCCTCTCTGCTTAGGAGAATCCCTGGCACCACTTTTAACCTAGAAATTTCAGTTCCTTCCTACTTGTTTCTGCTTTACTTTTTAAATTTTGTGTAATGGTACCAACAATGAGGTTTCTTAAGGAAGGAAGCTGGAGAGTGGAGGAAGCAAAGAATATCACCTAAAATAAGTCCAGTTTTAGTCCAAATTCCAAAGCATAATTCCTCAGTTCGTCCAGGCTTCAGTTCAGCAGTCAAATCCAAATCATCCAGCAAGGTTTGCCTCAGAGCAGTTGTAAGTTCAAACATCTGGAAAGAGCAGCCAAACCTTTAGCTGTGGCCAGCACAAATGCAAGAAGCCTCAGATCGCATCTTGCCACAGTTTCTCCACAGCAATGTCACTGTCTTTCCAACACTATCACTATGGTCCTGCTGCCAGGATCTCCCTCAAGGCTTGCCACTACAAGTCTTGCTGGCCTCAAGTCTTGCTCCCCAGTGTGGGAAGCACTCTTTTTCTTATTCTAGTCCCACAGCTGATGTTGATTTACATGTGTCTTCAGTTAAGGTAGTTGGAGACCAGAAGAAGCTAAAAAAAAATGCCAACTTTTAGGTTAACACCACATACACACACGTAATGTAGACAATGATACTTAGAGCAATATTTTCTTCTTTTTTTTTAACCAGAAAGAATTCTTTTCATATTAAATAGCTTTACAAAAGCATTAATCTTACACTACTAGGAAATTAAAAGATGTATTTCATTGGGAAAGTCTGTTGTCAGAAACTTATCTAAAGTACTGAGGCGCAACAATGTCAGTCTGAAGACTAAGGCACACCTGATACAGGCCATGGCCTTTGCAATCACTTGCTATGCATCAAAGAGCTGGGCAATGACCAGGGATGATAGAAGGAGAATTGATGCCTTTAAACTATGGTGCTGAAGAAGAGTATTAAATATAGCATGGACAGCTAAGAGAACAAACAGATTCATCGTGGAGAGTGTGGAAACCAGGTACGCAAGGATTCTGAAGATTCGTCTGACATACTTTAGACATGTTGCAAGGAGGGACTAGTCTTTGGAGAGGGAAGTAATTCTTGAGGGGGTGGAGGGACAGTGCAGGAGAGGAAGATCCTCAATGAGATTAATTGATTCAGTGACTGGAGTAATGGGGGTAGGTATGTTGGAGAAAGTGGGATTGGCACAGGATAGAGCAGGATTTAGGGCGGTTGGAGATTTGTACAACAGCGTTCATAGCAGCATTACTCACCATTTCAAGAACATGGAAACAACCCAGATGTCCAAACACAACTGAATGGATTGAGAAATGGTGGTACATTCAAACAATGGAATACTATGTATCGCTCAGGAGTAATGATTTCAAAAAATACTACATAACTTGGAAGAGACTGGAAAACATTATGCTAAGTGAACTAACTCGGTTAAATAAGGACAAATACTGCATAAGATTTGTTGTTGTTGTTTGGTGCCTTCAAGTCATAGACGACTCATAGAGACCCTATGAATGAAAGGCCTGAGCATTGTTCATAGGGTTTCCAGAGGCAAGCCATTTCGGAAGTGGATGCTGCTCCTGCTTCCAGGTTTGTGTTAGTTGGAAAGCTCCAGCAAACACTGTCCACCATGGTGACTATTACCATGTGTGGCACATCAGTGTCACAGTGGTCAGCATCACAGCAACCACGAGTTACCTCAGTACAGCAATGCACAGACCAGTGCTATGCTATACCACCTAGAAGAATGTATGACAGAAAAACAATTTGAACCTGGCCCAATGGCCCGTTGGGGCTTGAAGTACCTTCCTGCCTTAAACCCTAGGCCAAATAATACCTGTGCATGCACACAGACCACACACACTAAGCTCTGTCAGCAAGAAGTCACAGAACACCCTGGGAGGAGCCACCAGAAAGAACATGGCCACCTCCACTCCCCTCTCCCGTTAGGGCTTAAAGACAGAGTTTAGTGGATGTGGTCATGTTCTTCCTGGTTGGCTCCTCCCAGGGTGTTCTGTTCTGCATAAGATAATTGTTGTAAAAATAGGATAACTAGTAAAACATGTATGGGATCCAAGGAGGGAAGAGGTAGTAGGAGAGAGAGGTGAGGATAGGAAGGGGTGAAAAATCACAGGCCTGCTGTACTTTAAACACCTGTTAGGGTGGCCTGACCATGCCATGTGCTTGTAGTAGGAGATATTCATTAACTGTTCTCTGTTGTAATATAGTTAACACTTTTCAAGAATTCTTAGAGAACATGGAATAATGGAATATTTCCCTCTTTTGATTTAGGGCTTCCCTCCTTCATATTTAGGAAATCTACTATAGGACTTGTCATCAGGAAAGGACCAGTCCCTGGAGGAGAGCATCATGTTTTGGAAAATAGAGGGTTAGAGCTAGATCACCAGTGACTACATCAATGAGTGTAAGCACAGCAGAGATTGTGTAGATGGCATAGGATCAGGCAGTTTCATTTTGCTGTACATAAGATCACTGTAAGCCAATTCAAGCAACAATTATTTAGAACTTAAGCATAAATGTCTCATGATGTGGTTGTGGTTGTTATATGTCATCAAGTCTCCTGCAACTCTTATCAACTCTATGTGCCATAGCTCTGAACCTTCCCTATCCTGATCCAATCTCACTGCCTCTGACACACCTGTCCCCATTACTCCAGTTACTGTGCCAACCATCTCATTCATGGTCTTCCTCTTCTATGCTGTCCCTTCATCCTTCCAAGTATGATGACCTTCTCCAAGGACTGGTCCCTCCTGTACACATACCCAAAGTATGTGAGACAGATTCAAAATCCTTGCCTCCAAAAAAATAAATAAAATCCTTGCCTCCAAGGAGCAACTTGGTTTTACCCTCTCTAGGACTGACCTGTTTGTTCTTCTTAAAAAAGTTAATTAAATAATGAGCAAGCAGAAAAATTATAAAATGAAACTCATAGCAAGAGGTATATATTTAGGGTTAAAATTTGTTCTGAAGGTGATAAGAAACCCTTGGATATGAACAGGATTTTGAGAATAAAAATAACTATATGGAAATCAAAATAGTCTAACAATGAAAAAGTATGAATGCTGGTCTGAGGAGATTCTCAAATTTTTTTTAAAATGTGGCAGTTTTCCAGCAGCTGTGAGAGAAACATTGCAGCTCAAACTTCCCTTTTCTTAGCAAATAAACTCTAAAAAGATGGCTCAGGGAAAGCAAATCCCATAGAAAGTAATGTCCTATTAATCAGAGCCTCTGAAATGTGACCCGCCCAGGCAGCTAAGGGGCCTCTTCTGCCATTTTATATTTCCTCTTTAATCAAATCCCTGGATGCCACCGTCTTCAAACCTGTGGGGATTTAAAAAGTACGTTGATTAATGGACTTGATCAGTGTCCGCTCTTGTTTAACCAAGGTGTGTTCCTCCGCATGTCATATTTCACACCCACCTCACACCATTCCCTTTTTATTACAGGAACTGAAGAATCTGATGGCCTGCCAGACAGTAGAGTAATACACACACAAAAAAAATTTTTTTAAGAGTTTGTTAAGCTTGAGAAGAACTTCGAGATTGTTGCTATTTTAATTTAAATAAGCTGTACAAATAATTAAATGCTAGGTCATATTGCCACTATCAAATTTAGGCGAGTAGGAAAGAAGGGTACAGTGAGTCCTGGTGGTACAGTGATTAAGTTCTCAGCTGCTAACCACAAGGTGAAAGGTTCAAACCTACCAGCCACTCCACAGGAGAAAGACATGGCAATCTTATTCTGTAAATATTACAGCATTTTCCAAGGGATACTTCTACTATATAAATATTACCTCCTTTCATTTGTAAATATTAAAGTCTTTACTCAACAGAGTAGTTCCATTCTATCTCAAAGGGTTGTTGTGAGTTAAAATTGACCCACAGAAAGGATACATTGAGTATATGACTTTATTGCTTAAAGCAGTTGGATTCTGGAAGGTGGGTAGTTTTTATTTCATTAACAATCAAATGTGAACAGTATGATCCTTTTTATTTAATAGTCAGGTATGAGCTGTTTGGTTTTTTCTTTAATTAACAATCAGGTGTGAGTTGTTTGGTCTGGTGTGAAGACAGATTTACTATTAGAGTTACAAATTAAATAGTTTGTTGCATTTGTGGAGAACATGTTCTAATTGGTTCAGCACTTGTCTGTCAGTTTGCTGTACTGAGATAACTTGTGGGTTGCTAGGGTACTGAAAACTACACCACTGGTGTGTCAAGTGCTACAAGGATTATCCATGGTGGACAAGTTTTAGTAGATCTCCCAGATTAAGCC